AGAGACAGTAAGAACCTGCTTCCTACACAGTCACAGAATTCAAACAGGACTTAAACCTAATGCTTCTTTGCTTTATCTTTTCTTGGGTTGGGCAAAGCGTGAGAAGGTTGTACAAAAGCACATTCTTGCCTGTCAGGAAGGGGAACGTCTGTGACAGCTGTCCCAAGTGGTACAATACAGAAAGAATAGCATAACCCCATGACTCAGGGCCTGTTACACGGCCAAGCGACGGATTCTCTGATATTTCTAGCCAAGGAGCACAACCACACTAAGATCACCTCCTCTACAGCTAAAGTAAAGTTTAAGGGAACCAAGACCCCAAAACACATGCCTTGCTGTGTCGGGGTTTCTCTCAGCAGCTGGAACTGWATCCAATAARCCATTTCAAACCTTGCCACGACGTCAGGGGAAGGAGCACRGAGCGCTGAGCTCCTGCAGCGCGGCAGCACCRGCGCGGCTCCGACCTTTCCCTCAGGGCCGCTTCCCGCTCAGGGCCYGCCCGCCGCCATCTTGCGGCWCTGGCAGCGMCCGGGCCCCGGGCGGCCATGAGGGAAGGGTGGCTCGAGGGCGGGTCAGGCGCCGTGCCGGCCGTGKGAARACCCCGCGGGGGTTCTGGGGACAGGGAATGCCGTGGAAGGGAGACGCCGGGGCYGGRAGACCCGCGGGCACGCCCMGCTGRGGGCAATGGCGGCGTCGCGGTCACCAAGGCGACCACCCGCCCCGACCCTCAGGACCACGRGCGAGCCAATCAGAAYCGTTCTCTCTCCCACTGCCCCGCCTCGGCTCTCCCGGAACGSGTCCGTCTTGTGTCCGCGCTCCTGATTGGCTCGYTGCCGCCCAGCCGGGCTGGGATTGGCGGCGGGCGGCGGGAACGCGCGGGCCGCGGGTGCGCGCGCAGGCCGGTCCCCTCCGGGCACGGACGGTCCTTTATAGGCGCGCGAACCCCCACAGCTGCGGACATGTCGGTGTCCCCCGTAAAGCGGCAGAAGATGGAGTCGGCGCTGGACCAGCTCAAGCACCACACCACGGTGGTGGCCGACACCGGGGATTTCAACGGTGAGAGGCGGCGCGAGGGGATCCTGTCACCGCATCTTCTCCTTAGCCCCCCTGTCCCGCCCCCCTTCGCGGAGAGTGGGCGCGCCCGGCCGAAGGGGCGCGCGGTGGGGGGAGCGAACCACCCTGCGGCCGGAGGGGGGTGAGGAGSGGGGAAGGCGCTCGGTGGTGGCGCTTTGGTCTCCATCCCAGGGCAGATCCCGCCCAGCCGGGGCATTTTCCAGACACCCCCGTGATTTTCTCCCAGTTTGCCCTCGAGTGTGCCCTGATCACCACGCTGAGCTCTGCGTGCTGTCAGTAAGAAGYGCCAGGCTGAAAACCAGGCTCTGCTGTGCTAATAAATTCCGGTTTTCTTCCAGTGACCTGTCTAGATCTGGGACTTGTTTGGGGTTTTTTTCCAAACTCARGGCAAGGCAGCCTGGTCCAGGGGAAGGTGTCATTGCCCGTGGCAGGGAGCAAAACTGGACAATCTTTAAGGTCGCTTCCAACCCAATCATTSCAGGATTMTGTAAAAATAATGCCAGAGTGCTTTTGTTTCCCTTATCTCCTGAGAATGAGCCAGCACGCTCCTTTCCGAGAAAGGGAGGTGGCCTTCAATTAGAAAGCCACTTGTTCCCAAGCTGTCACTGCCTGGCCCAGCAGAGACACGGAGCCTGCTTGGTCCATCAGAGCCAAGAATTGCCTCTCTGGGTGTCTCTGGGTTGCAAAGAGCAGCCCTTGAATCCTGCCCTGTCCTTGCCCAGGCCTGCACTAATCCCTCCACTGCTTGCCTAATCCTGCTGGTGTACAATAAGCAACCCTAAAYGGCCACTGTCAAATGTCTTAAGAGTAGGAAACTTAAGGTGAAGAGAGCACAAGGTGGCAACACAGGAAAAAAACACGCCCGGGATGGCTGAGGGGGTGTTTGTGTGCAGACAGCAGTAAGGATTGTAGAATATCCCACAGGGATCATCGAGTCCAGCTCCTGGACATCCCTGAGTTGTTCCCTGGGCTGGTCCTATCACCTGGTGGTCATTCCTAAACTCCAAACAAGGCAAGAGCCTTACCTGGCTCACTCCTGGCAGGTTAAACRCTGGTGGAGGTGGTTGTTGCAGCTGGTGGCTCCCAGTTCGTAGAACAAAGTGTTGGTACAGAACGGAGTTTTGTTGATGTGCTGCTCTGCTTTAAGCAGTATCCATGTGAATTAAAGTTCTGAAGGACCTGTTTGTATGGAGTGGAGCTCTCTCCAGGATTCTGATCGTTGCCTGGGAAGGATCTATGGAAAAACAAGGCTTATTTTCAGTGCAGTTGTACTCTCTCACTTGGGCTTTCATCCCTGTGTGGAAATGCTGAGGAGAAGGGGCTGGTAATACATATTTTGTTTTTTTGACATTTTAACTGCATTGTTGAAACTGCTGAGGGGCTTGAAAAGGCTCTGTCCCATTTGTCCAGTCAGGCCCTGGTGCCAGGCTGTGATTACAGCCAGACAATGTGTGTCACAGCCTGCTGGAGCAAACACCTGGCATCACCTGGAACAGGCGCAGTCCAGGCATTAGGGTAAGACACTTGACCCTTGCTCAGGTGTCTTCCTGGTAGTACAAGGAAATGGCAAGAGCAGATACTGAGAAACTGCAACTGTTTGGAAAGGGTTTAAAAAAGCAGCAAGAAGAGTTGCTGGAGCCTCACAGRTGAATTCACCTGTCCTGGCCCCATCAGTTAGACACAAACAAAAGCCCAAATTYCTGACTGAAGGGAAGGACCCGTTCTTCACTCCCCTCTGTGATTCCTAGGGCTCAGCTATACTGGTTGGGATGAAATTTGGAAATTAGTACTGCTCTGCATCCATCTTTTCTACAGGCTTATACCTTTTGGGCAATTTCTCTAGTTTATAAACTTTACAGTTTGCTGTGYCTTATGACTGCAACCCAGTTGTTCTGTCCTGTGGAACAAGCCAGCCTTCAGGCAGTGTTTAAACACCACTTAGCACTGATGTRCTCTATCATTAACAAGGTTTTACATTCTCACCTGGCTGAGCAAAATCCTTCTGATTTCTCAGGCTGTCTGGCTGTTTCAAACAGGCTGGTTTTCTTTCCTTAGCCATCGATGAGTACAAGCCCCTGGATGCCACCACAAACCCCTCCCTGATCCTCGCTGCGGCTCAGATGCCAGCATACCAGAAACTTGTTGATGAYGCTGTTGCCTATGGGAAGAAGCTTGGTGGGTAAGTAAAGAGGGCTTTAATCTCAGCAGACCTATATTTTAAATGCCTTATTTGTATTCAAACAGCGTACTGGGGTTTCCTCCTCTTGTACTTGGGGGTTTTTCTCCTGCCCCAAAAGGCCTCAACACTTCAGGAAAAATCCCTTATGCCCATTCCAGATGTGCTTCTAAGAAGTGCATCCCCATTTCCCAGCTCACACCTGGCCCTCCTTGCTCAGGAAAACAGCAGCATTATAGGAAAGAGTGTTCAAAGGCTAATTGTACTGGTAGGACAGAAATGGCTCATTTGAACTCTGGAATTTAATGTTAAACGAGCTGTGAAATTTCATCTTCAAATCCATGGTGAAGAGTRAACTCACCTGTTTTGGTTTTTTTTACCTCCATAAATGCTTTTGCTCTTTGTGGTTTTCAGGTCAGAAGAGGAGCAGATMAGAAATGCTTCTGACAAGCTTTTTGTGTTATTTGGAGCTGAAATCCTGAAGAGGATACCTGGCCGTGTGTCCACAGAAGTAGATGCAAGGTTGGCTCTTTTCCCTCTGGGTTACCCTGGATATTGTACATACAAAAAGAAACCTGATTTGAGTTAGAGAGAGATTTCTTGCATAGGAGACCAGCAGGACTTCTATTGTTAATATTTAAGAGTGTGGATTTCACTTAGTTTAACTAGTACTCTGTAACAAAAACAAGTCACAGTGACCTTGGATTTTTGTAATCTTCCTGTTGCATCTTAAGCAAGGGAAACCTCACACTTCCAGTCTTAGTTTTGCTCATTCTCTTCTATGTGGTAATAGCTGCTCAATTTAGCAGATCTGTTCAAACAGTCTATTTCCAGACTGGCACAGGACTTGGCTGTTAACTTGCTCAGTGCCAACTTTTGCTAATGYTCAGCTTTTGAATTCATTATGAGAATCTTCCTTCTCGAAGGGCTGACAGTCCAGGAGGGATCTGAGAACACAAACCTGCTGTTGGCATGTAAATGCTGATAAAACAGGACAATGTTTTCCCATGGGGCCCTGGGGAAAATATTTTTTCTTTTTAAAAAAAAAACGTTTTAAACAGTGCTGCTCTTGCCTCAAAGGTTGTCCTTTGATAAGGAAGGAATGATTCAAAGGGCAAGGCGCCTCATTGACCTCTACAAGGAAGTAGGAATTGGTAAAGATCGGATTCTCATCAAGCTCTCTTCAACGTGGGAAGGAATCCAGGCTGGCAGGTAAGGCTGTGTGTGCCTGGTCTGCTGATTCATGGCATGCTCCTGCCTGTCCACAGGCTCTGACATTGCATTTTGCACTTGAATAAACAGCAGTGCTGAAAGCACGGCATGAGGAAGTCTGTCACAAGGTACTCTGCAACAGCTTGCTGTTGAAATAGGGAAAGTTTCTTCATACAAGGGCCAGGCCACAGTTTCCTGAAATACCCTAAGATGGCTGCATTTGGCTGAAGGAACTCCATTAATAAAGCAGTGTTTGGCAGCACAAAACATCTGCWGTTAGCTGATAAATTTAAAGCTTACTAGGTGTGCCCCATTCCTAAATTAACTTGAGGAATTCTGTAGTTTGAACTTAGCAGCTTATTCCTGAATATGAATTCTGTAGGTGAGCAATGTGCTGTTCTAAGCCAGCCTGTATCTGCAGGGCTCTGGAGGCTGAGTATGGGATTCACTGCAACATGACCTTGCTGTTCTCCTTTGCTCAGGCTGTTGCCTGTGCTGAAGCTGGAGTTACTCTGATTTCCCCATTTGTGGGACGGATCCTGGATTGGTATGTTGCAAATGGAGACAAGAAAAGTTTTGAGCCTTCAGAGGACCCAGGTAAGCACAGCTTTAACATTGCTGAGAACACAACAGCTGCTCATTYGAACAGTTTACTCGTAAAAATCCTCTTAACAGCAAAATGCCCATTTTGAGCATGTTCTAAATAATCACTTACAATGAAGTCAATGTTATCTACTTGTAGGAGTAAAGAGTGTCACCAAGATCTATAACTACTACAAAAAGTTTGGCTACAAAACAATCGTGATGGGCGCGTCGTTTCGCAACACGGGTCAGATCAAAGCACTCACTGGCTGTGACTATCTCACCATTTCACCCAAGCTCCTGGCAGAGCTCAGCAAAGAGCATGTCAAGTTAGCTCCCACACTCAGTGTCAAAGAGGGTAAGTCCACTCCTTGGGGCTTGTTCATCCTTCCTTCAGCAGTGTGAAGAGTCTGGGGTTCGGCTCAGTGCTGTGGTGCTTGCTGCCATCCTGCTTTAGGGATACATCCAGTTTCCTAAAGGAAATTACTGTGGTGTCATTACAATATCACTGCTGCAATTGCTGACACACTGAGCACTAATTGGATTCCAGTGGGCTTGGAATGTGCTTCCATACTCTGCACCTCTCTCCATGGGACAGGGAGAGAACAGGAAGGTTAATCTGCACATGCTCAGGATGAAATTTTACTGAATAGTAGCAAAGATGCCAAACTTGGTTTCATCTTAATCTCTAGACATGCCAAGAGGTGTTTTTCCTCCAGAAATTGGAGACAAATCATACACAAGACTGAGTGATTTGATCTAGTGACACTGTGCCACGATGGCTTGGAATTCTTGTTCCCATTGCAGTACTTTAAGACCAGGTTGGACCGGGCTTGGAGCAATCTGGGATAGTGGAAGGTGTCCCTGCTTCCAGGATTCTGTGATACTCTTCTGCACCTGATGAAAATGCTGCTTGACATCTCAGAAAGCAGCTCTGTGCACAGCTGCAGCCATGTGTTGCTGCYCACAGGCTGCTGCTGGCCTGGAAGCCTGCTATCAAATGAGCTTTTGTTAGTTCTTGCCAAATAATCAAAGCCCTGATTGTTCAGAATATTTGCTTAGAATGTCTCACTGCTGCAGGGTGGTTGCACAAATCCTTAGAATAGGCCTGAAAGTGCTGTACCATTCAGCAGCAGGTACAAGATAAGGACACACACAAACACTGTGTGTTTAGATAAACCTATTCATTAGGCTACCTTTTTCCTCTTTGTTCTCCTCCAGCCAGATCAGGAGCACTTCCAATCTCACATCCCCTATTGTGCTCCTGCAGCAAATCATACTGAAAGTATTAAAAAAATTTCCAACACCTAGAAATGGTCAGAGCTCAAGACWATTTTAGGAAGTCTAAATTTGACAAGAATCTGATAACCTAGTTTGTTTTTTTATTTCTCCTGCACAGCTCAGGCGTGTGATCTGGAGAAGATCCACCTGGATGAGAAGGCATTCCGCTGGCACCACAAYGAAGACCAAATGGCTGTGGAAAAGCTCTCYGATGGGATCAGGAGATTTGCTGCAGATGCAGTTAAGCTGGACAGGATGTTAAAGGTAGATGTTTTATCACACTTCTCCTGTGTACTGCAGCCACCTTGGTGTCGCTGAGGATTAAAGGAGTCTGGTCAGGTTTTTGGACAGGTTATGTAGGACAGGCCACCTAAATTCAGTGAATTTGCTTCACTGCATGCCAAGAAAGAATTCATGCCAGGTGTGGGCCACACCTGCAGTTTCAGGCCACAGGACTGGCAGCTCATCAGGATAACTGTCAAAGTGAAAAGTCCCTTAGGTCTGATTCTGAGCTGTCAGCTGCAGTACAAGATACAAATAATCTGCAGGTAGTGAGCTGGAAATAAATCATGTTTGTACTTGGAGGCACTATGTAATAGCAGATTTGTTGTCAAAGTTATTTCTCAGGTTTTGGAGAGGCTTTCACATGGGATTATTCAAACTCTGTTTTTTGGGGAAGAACTACTCAGTATACCTGATCTAGGCACTTGGTGACTGGCAACTCTTTGCAGTGTTCCCAAACTCTTACTCAGTGGCACTTTGTTTTATTCTCTTTCTAGGAGAGAATGTTCAGCACTGAAAATGGAAAGTAACAAAAAAAAAAAAAAAAAAAAAAAAAAAAAAAAAAAAAAAAAAAAAAAAAAAACCAAAAAAAAAAAAAAAAAACAAAAAACAAAAAAAAAAAAAAAAGAAACAGCATTTCCCTGAGTGCTCCAGGCTGAGGTGGATCACCTGAAGTTCAGTGGATGTACAAAAGTCTTACCTGTACAAATATCATGCTGTTTATGGATAGATTTAATGCTTTTTTTTTTTTTTAATCAATTTGCAAAGGGATAAATGGAATTTCAAATTTTTGTGGCACTTTTGTCAATATATGCACATTAAAAGAGACTTGCCTTGTAACGTGGTCAATTCACTACTACAGGAAACACTTGACAGGATTTTAATTTTTTGTATTAAATTCCTAATTAAGCCTATAGTCTAACACATTTAATAAAACAGTTTTTAAGTTCAGGTTGTTTTGAAGAGAAAACACAGGTTTCACAAGCCAGTCTTGGTACAAAACCCACAAAACTCCTGTGACACACATATAGACACACATATTCTGACATATATCTTAGTAGTTTATATAGATCGAATTCTATGAAGGGTAGACAACAATAAGCAATAGGACAAGMAAGCAGCAGTCTCAAGGGGAAGGGGCCAGGGGAGATTTAGGTTGCATAGTAGGGAACATTTCTGCACTGAAAGAGGCTGTCCAACCTGGCACAGCTGTCCACAGTGGTGGTGGCTGAGTCCCCATCCCTGCAGGGATTTAAAAGCCACATGGATGTGGCACTTGGGCACAGGGGCTAGTGGTGTCCTTGGCAGTGCTGGGAGAATGGCTGGGCTTTATGGTCTCAGCAGTCCTTTCCAACCTCAGTGATACATTCTATTCTAAGAGATCCCTGCTTTTATGTGGACACAATTTGCTGTTTCCTGACAAAGTTGCCTGAACTTAGGAAAAGGGAGAAAAGGCAGCACTGTGGCTCCAGCACTCACAGACCTGTGCTCTGACCAGAAAAAGGGAGCCCCTGATCCCTCACCCCAGKGTGACACAGCAGCTCTGCTGTCAGCACATCCAGAACAAGCTGGGAGCTGCTGTTCCAGCCAAAGGAAAGCCAGCTATCATCCACTGGTGCTGCACTCCCAGCCTGCCCTGGCAATAGTGCCAGTCTACCAGAGGGAAATGAAATGCCCACGGGACTCTTCCAGACCCCCTGTCCTAGAGCTGTTGGTGAAGTGGGAAGCAGACCAGGCAAAATGCAGGCTGCCCAMAGGGAGGTGACCTTTTTTCCAGTCTAAGTCAAATCAGCACTAAAAGCTTGACCCTGCCTCTCCCTACAGACATCAGACTGTCCACTGCATATTCCTTCTCAAKTTAACCTATTTGGCATTTTTCATTCTCACTAARTTGAGAATTCCAGCAGRGAGTCCTAGAATGGTTWGGRTTGGAAGGGGACCTTGAAGACCATCTCMTTSCATCCCTGTGCCATGGRMAGGGACRCYTCCCACCAGAACATGTTGCTGTGCTGTGACACCACACTGCAGTGGGCACCAAACCTTACACCAGGGCAGAGTGGGGATTCAGGCCCACAGAATTTGGGGACTTGCTGCTGTCAAACTGGCTGGTCAGAGGCTTGGAGCCTCKGGAATAAATGCCCCTTTTTCCCCTGAATGATGCAAGAACTGTCACATGCCTGCAATCTGTCACCTCACATAGCTGAGTCACAGCTGGCTCAGTAACACTGTGCAGCTCAAATGAAACTGAAACATTTCAGAAGTAGCTCAAGAGAAGATAAATACTGCAGTGAGAGGTGATAAAGAGGAAAAGGTGCCTGAATAACAAGCCTTACTGCATTTACATGCAGACACCGAGGAGCTGAGGGGGCAGTAGGGGAACAAGTTATGCTTAAAATGTTCAGTCACAGGGTCCCCTACCTGCTRTGGTGGCAGCTGGTGTTTCCTCAGCACTGGGGGTCCTTCTCTGCAGCACAGGTGGTTGTGAAGTGTCTGACGTCTGTGGCTAAGCCACAAAGCCCACATCCTTCCTGAAATGGGGCAAAAAACCAACCACCACATAAWCCTTCAGCCTGTACAGCTCTTTAGTCAGTCACACAAAGTGCATTTACTCCTTAATTCTTCCTCAACTTCTCCTCTCTTCAGGAGATAGAGATCTCCCAGGGCCCTGTCTGTGCCGTGCTTACTCCTCCTGGGATTTCCCAGATCTCCATCCCTCCTCAGATTAGGAAATCAGAAGATGTTTGTTGTCTTCCAGAAAGGTCTGTAGCTCTCACAGTCACAAGGACAAGACKCTGGAATTAGGGGCAAATACAATGTGTGTGTGTGTGGAGAAATCCCAAAGAATCCAGACACAAAGTTTAAAGCACTGGTTTAAAAATGACAGCACCTTTCCCAATCTTTCCTTGTGGTGGCAGCTCTCTGATTCCAACATCCAGCTGTGCAAACACACAAAGCTTGGAGGGGGCTTGGAAAAGCTTTTTCTTCCTCTTCCAGGTGGGCCTTGCATCCCATCATGTGCTGTACTGAGGGAGACATACCTGCTGTTCCCAGCACTACCTCCATTCTTGAAACAGGGTACAGGAGAGCAGAGCTGTTGGAAGAACAGACACACTAAGTACATCCATTCATATTCATCCTCCCAACATGGAATTTAATTTAAAATTAGTCCTTAGATTCACTGGTTATGTCTCTCCAATACAGCCATCCTGGGCCAGTATGGATGACACCAAACCCAGACAGTTCCTTTTGAAATTTTAAAGTAAATCAGGACCAAAGAGCCACTTCCATCTCTTCTGGTCCTTGTCTGGATGCATACGAGATGAATAAAGCAGAAGGTCCTGTTTAAAAAAAAAATTTAAGGTTTTTTTTTTCTTTTAACAAGATTATACTGTGGAAGCTCCAAGAAAAGAATCTCAAACATTTTAATACACTAATGGAATGCTGGTATAACCAACAACCRTCARCTGCACACAGGGACWGAGTTCAAACATCTTGTCAGGRTCCCMAAAAACATGAAAATTGAGATCAGAYCCCACAGGCAGGTCTTGGGGCTCTGCCTTCCAGAGTTAAACATTTTCCCAACTGCATCACCAGCACCCCTCTTTCCAGCTTGGGTGTAAACCCATCAGGAAAGGCTCCCATACCTTAGGGATGGTGGGCTTTCCTCCTGCTGGTGAAGAAATCTTTTGTGGGGTGCAAGACAGCAGTGTTCCTTTACAGCTGTGAGCCAACATCAGAGAAAACTCCTTACCCCTTTGGATTCATCCTGCTCCACCCAGTGCAGAGGCATTCTGAGGCTTCTGGCAGGTACTTCCATGTCTGCCTGCAAGAAAATCAGAGGAAAACAAGAGATTAYGGGCCCAGCTATTAAGCCCAGAGATGTTGTGATTCCCAAATAAAAAGAACAAAACCCTAAACAAATAAATGCCCTCCCATTGTTATAAAACAACAAAAACCACCAGCAGGATGTTACCAGATTTCCAAGAAAACATGTCTGGCTGGTAACATTCCTAGGACCAAAGCATCAAGCACTGCACAGTGCAACACTGAAACTATCAGGGTTTGTCTGGGTTAAAAATCTCACAAATTTGAAGGTTTTCAGCTCTTTGGGAAACAGTTTCTGCCTTGGGGACAAAAACTCCTCAGAATAAACACCACTGCTTGGATGTCTGGGATGAGATAGTTCGTAGGGCTCCTCAGCTGAACCAGGCACAAGGTACTAACTGAGATATCCAAATTCTCTCCATGGGAAGTTTAAAATGTAAGAATTATCCAAAAATCTTTGCTCTTTTTTTATAATGCCACTTCATGATTTTAGTTGATGTAAATACCTTTTAGGTAAAAGAAAATAACAAATGAACTATCAAGTTTTACACCTGCAGAACAAAATTTAAACACAGAAAATAAACACAATAAAACTTTCCTGAACATACCTGGATGACATTCAACAACTTTGTGTTTTCTATCTTCATTTGATCTTTTCCCACAGTCTTGGAACAACTTTTTCCAGTCCCTGGTTAAAATTGGTCATTAGGAGCTATCATCACTAATGGCCTCAAGTTGTGCCAGGGGAAGTTTAGGTTGGATATYAGGAAAAATCCCTTCAWGGAAAGGSATGRTGGACTCCATCCCTGGAAGTGTTCAGAAAASATGTGGAGGTGACACTTGAGGTTGAGTGGTGAACATGGTGGTGGTGCTGCACTGATGCCTGAACTTGATCTTAAAAGCTCTTTTCCAACCTTAATCCCATGATTCCAGGACTTGGATGGCTCCCAGTTTGTCAGCATGGCTTGTGACGGTGACACAATCCAGCCCACCATCCTGACCCACCTCACAAAGCTACACCTGCACACATCACCTCTCCAGCCACTTGCTGCTGGATCACACGACTCTCCTCCCATTTTCCCAAGAGCAACTTCACAGCTGAGGAGATAGAAGTGGATGTGTGATGGGGAAGAGTGAAAATGCACTTGGGAACTTGTCTTGTTTCTGCTCTCATACAGGAGGAAAAAGGGAGCACCATCAAGTCCTAGGCAGTGTGCTTTGTCCAACTGTTTGCTTCTCAACAGAAGCACAAGCAGAGCAACTCCAGCAGRTCCTGGATACCACAAAATAAGGAAAAATTGTACAACAGGGGTCTGATTAATGCCTGCAGTGGTCTGAATGCTGTTTGCTCACTTGGCAGCAGCTGAATGAACCTGAAAGAGCTGAATGAGGACAGAACCTCATTTAAGCAATGAAAACAGGACACAGGGTAGACACCAATATTCTATTTTTACAGGCAAGCAATGAAAGATGCAGTGATTTTGGCAAAATCCCACAGAAACACAGTCTCGAAGGAAATACAGTCTCCCACTTCACCAAAATGTGACTTTCCAGACTGAAAGTATTCCTTGATAGAGTCAACATCAAATCCCTATGACAGCTTGTCAGGAATGAAGATTTAAATTATCAAAGCTAACTGATAATTTAATTTCCATCAAAGCGCAATTTTCATTTCAAATTCCAGTTTTAATTTCCATCAAAGCCAAAGATCTGTAAGCTGGGCTCCAGAATGCAACACTAGAAAACCCAGCAAACCCCAGGGCAGTYTGTCTTTTAAAATCACACTGAATTCTTGAGGCAGAGCTAAAAAACTGGATTTCCACAGAAAAGACAAAATTTCACTGCTTGATGACTTGTTAGAAACAAAATATTGTAACATCCTGGTATGAAAACARAAATGCAACCACAAAGGTCCTTCCCTTCAGGGCACTGTAGAAATGTTGGCACAATTCCAAGAGGGGAGGAAAATCAATTATCTGAAAGTTAATTTATCTACTTTCTGATATATTTGGTATGTTTAAGCCTGCAACAATTAAAAAAATATCTCAGCCTGATTCTTCCTTTGCATATTCAGCTTCAAGCCAYACCTGCAGTTCTGAGGGAAGGAGGCCAGATTCCACCCTACACTGATGGGATCCACATTAGCCTTCTGCATTTTTCAGTGCAGTAATCCACAAAATTCCAGCAATAGACAGCAGCAATGTACTTCCAGAGAGGAGTATTTCCAAGAGAACAATACCCACAACATAAGCAGCACAAAGGAGAACAAATAAACAATTGTAGGACCATGTACAAAGAAAAAGCTGAGCAAACTTTTTAAACACAATTCCAACAATGTGAAGAGGAAGAAAACAAGGGCACACTGTARATCAGTACAATGCCAACCCAGAGCAAGGACTTCAATTTCAGCAATTTGTATTCACAGCACCAACTTTTGGGGGGTTTTGAGAAGGCAGTTCCCCACATCTGTAAATTGAGGGTCTAGAGAAGCAGTGAGAAAATGGAGCAGCAAAAGTGTAAGGGAGTGTCCCAGCTGCTTCTGACAACTTTCATCCATTCCATCCACACAGAACCTGACACTGCCACTTCACTGCCATAGTCACTTCAGAGTCCAGGACAGAGGTTCAGACAGATGTTTCATCCAGGTCACAACCATGGAAATCCACAGCCTGCTGGCTCTTCATCCATCCTCTKTGCAAACAGACCTGCTCCTTCATTTCCTGCTGAAGGAAACACACCCAGACATGACAGGACAGGTTAGTCCACAGCCAGGACAGGACTGGTAACACACAGTCATCTAAACAAAAGAAGGCGTTTGTGGTTATTCATATGTGCTCTTCTATCTGACAAGRTAGCACTCAAACAAGCCAAGCCATTTTCCAAAGAAATTAAATTCATTCATTGCTAGAATCCTAAATCAGAGCTGACCGAGTGCCAACCTGCCAAAGCTCAAAAAACAAGAGACATTTCTCTGAGCAGAAATGTTTAGTGAAGCCTATTTGGAATTTTACTTTGCCAGTTCCACTACAGCCATGTATTTCCCAACCTATTTTCATCTTCTTTTTTTAAATAACCAAATGCTCCTTGCCAAAAGACACAACTGCCTGGATAGCTTGATCAAACAGAAGTGGCACACGCTTCAATAGAAAACCAGGGAGAAAAACCCGTTTTGAGGGACAACATTCCTAAAACCAAAAGATGTTCACCACTGGMTGTTCCCAGTTCTTAAGTGCCATCTTGCCTCACCTGACATTGCAAAGAATCAGAAGGTTTTGGACAGCAGGAAGGGTGGAATTCTCATTCTGTCCCGTCACCAGGTGCCTGTCYAGCACCACATGGACAGCATCCGGGCTGCTGGCTGAACACAGGAGGATACAACACAGAGAATGTGTTACAGGACAGAAGTTCAGTGCCAGAATCATCCCTCTGATAAAACCAACACAGTATGTAACTATTTTGGCCAGACAGATTTGCTAGGTGCTGATCTATAACCCCAGCAGACAGGGGCAGTCTCAAACCCCTAATCCTGAAACAATTTCCATAGGAAATCCTTTTCTGAAAGGACAGGACTGAGTTCTTGATTTGATTAACACCAGGTGACTAAAGCACACTTATCAGGAGATAGTTTAATAAAAAAATCAAAGTATGTCTTTGAAATTTGCAATTACCTCACAATACAATATAAACTCTTCTTGCCAGACATGAGCTGCCATCACCATGCTACAAAAAACAAATACTCATTTTCTGGCCAATTACACACTGCAATGTGTTCAGATCTACCAGCAACTGCTCAGCAGCCAAAACAGAATTTTTAAGTTGCCTCATTCCAGATAGAATCCTAGTGTTTGAGTTGGAAGGACCTTGAAGCTCATACAGTCCCAYSCCCCTGCCACAGGCAGGGACACTTTCCAGTAGCYCAGGTTGCTCCAAGCCCRTCCARCCTGGCCTTGAAAATGCACACAAGMCCTMATTTYCCAAAGGAGACATGAARTGCCAACCCCAGACACCAARCATGACCCACCACTGAATGTAGCTCCAGAATCCTTCACGAAATCCTCCACAATAATAGACAAACTGGCAAAATTCGGCTGCCTCACCAGCTCGTAGACAGAGGGCTGAAACAGATCAAAAGCAAATGAGTCTGGCTGGCTTTTTGCAGCAAAAGCCAAGCAAAACCAGTACATATCTCCCTGAAATTTATATTTCTGTTCCCTCTATTATTCTCCCAACCAAACAACCACAAGCAGCTTCGATGGATTTTGTGCAGGGAGCGAACTGGAAACCCTTAAGTGGGTTCATAAAGAAGGTTTAAGTAAAGAGGAAAAAACAACACCAAGCAATTTCTGCAGGTGTGATTAACTTCAGGAAGGCACAGAACTGTCTGGGGGACACAAATATCTGGACACAGATGCTGTGCCACCTGCAGAGTCCAAAAGCAGTAACCCACCTTGGAATGAATATGGGAAACATCTTAAAGACAGAAAATTTAAGAGTCTTTATAGTTTTTATATGCAAAAGGAAGAAGTTAAATTTTATGGTTTCCACAGCACATATAGGTAGACTACAACATGATTTAAAATACTTCATCATATTGGACTATAACAATCCATATAGAACCATAAATAATCCTCAACTCAARTAGAAGCACATGAGAACATTAATAGCTTTTGTGAGTCACAAAAACTTAATTTCTTAACTTTCCATGTAAATTTTCCACACTAGACGCTGTACTAGAGATTTGCATCACTCTGATATGACAATATGGGCTGTGAGGTGATGACTGCACCTAAAACATCAGCAGTAATTGCAAGCCAGATTGTAAAAACAGCCTTTTTTTCTCTAAGACTCCCTCTACCATTTAAAAAGAAACAGCACCTTGAGAAATATAATTTAGCCCCAGTATGCATGAAAGAAAAAAACCAACCAAACAAACGAAAAAAACCACAAAAAAAAGTAACAAAAAAAACCACACCAAAAAACCCACAAGAGTACCCAAAAAAAAAAAAGTCCTTAACAATGAATGCAGAGTTGCATCAGGAATTTCCAGCTTTTTTTCTGCTTCAGTTTAAAGTTTACCAAACAATTAAAAGGAAAGTATTCCCCACATGCCAGTAAAGTGGGATAATCCCTTTATGCACTTAGTCTTGTCAAAGACAACTCTGCACACCTTGCACAAAACCAAGGGTACCAAACCAAAAATTTGTATTTATAGGAAGTTCCAGAGTAATACCAAAACCACCAGAATTTACACAGCAAAAAATGCCCCCAACAAGAAAAATCAGATAAAAGCTCAACTTACCCCTGTCAGGCTGTATCCCTGGAAAACCCAGGATTTRTCATCATTAGTGGCACAACACAAAGCTGCCACTCCCTGTCCCACAGCACAGATGGGCTCTAAAAAGAATTAAAGGACATTTGTGAGCAACACTGATGAGGGTGGTGAGACTGATGCTGCCCTCCTGCAGGTGCAGTTATACTGCACTGATAATGTTCTTTTAGGTTGTAGGGGCTTTCCTGCACGCTGCTGTAGCAATTATTGGCTATAATAAGAATTAGTATAATTATTATTGTTACAGTAAGAGGAAGAATAAGAATTGCAGCTTTTAACTCCAAGCCCAGAGACAACAGCAAAGTGGAAATAAAAATGCTCAAATGTGGAGTCATGATTAACTGCAGCCTTAATGATGATCCTGGTACACTCCACAATTGGTTCTGAGCCTTGAATCCTGCTGATTTGGATAGAGTCATTTCTCTATCACTACAAGGCAGCAAATTCTTCTTCTGAGGCAAGCTTTGAAAAGCTACTGGCATTACTTTTTAAGATACTTTAAGACCCCTTTTTCCTTTTCAAGGCTTCCTTTTTTCCTTTTTAACACACTTTAGGACWTTTTTATTTCCTTTTAAGACTCTCTTTTTCCTTTTTAAGATATTTTAGAATACCTCTTTGTCTTCTAAGACACCCCTTCCTTTTTTTAAGGCCCATTAAAATACTGGTTTCCCACATTGAAGACACTCTTTTCCTTCCCAGTTTTAAATGCTCTTTAGCCATGCAGCAGCCCTGCAGGAGCAGCACAGGAACTCTGTTCCTTTCACCCAACCCCCCGAGGATGTTCACCTACTGCTCTCAGTGCTGAAGTGCTGCAGGATCTTGGCCAGGTACCCACTGTTGGCCAGGTCAGTCACAGCCCCGGGGCAGTTTGGGATCAGCAGGGCGTGGTACCGAGCCCCTGGTGGGGGTAAAAGCAAGAATTGATTGTAGGACAGGTGAAAAAAACMAAAAGCCTGATTATAAATCCACTGCACATTTAGGGAAAAAAAGGACAAACCAAACAATTCAGATAAAAAATGAACCTAAAGAAACTAACAGAGCTACTCAAAATAGAGAAAAAAGTCATTCTTCGGACAAGGAACACATTTTTAATGTGCCCTGATTACCCAGGTAAAAATTTCAACTGTTCTGTCTGCTGCCTTCTACTTCAGCAGAATATTTACTTTTAACAAGTAACAATGTAGTGGGTGCTTATATACAACACAGCTACCACATGTATACATTGCATATATATTAAGAGAATAACCATTCCAAGATAAGTAAGAAAAGTAGTTGCCAGAACTTCCTCTTAAATAGTAAGWAAACCAACAACTGCAGCTGCCAATTTTCTCTTAAAGCACAACTTTYCTGCCTTTTCTGTGTCGCTCTTCCYTAAAATTCTGGCCCTAAGCAGCCCATTTCCCTGCCAGTGGAGATGACAGTGGTCTGTGGTGACACCCTTACCATCAATGGACTCCAGCTTGGCGGGGTTGGCGTAGGATTTCATGCGGAAGTCCTGGATCCAGCGCGTGTTCCCCTCGTTCACATCCACAAAATCAATGGGCTTCCCCTGGGGATAACAGGGTTCACACACCCTGGTCAGGATCACTGCACAAGTATCCATGACACTCCCTGAAGGACAGCCCTGTGGGATGTTGGGGTGCCTCAGCTCTCAAAAAATTGAASTTCTCCCATTTTCCCCCCTGAATTAGTTCTAATAGTTTCCCCTCCACTCTTTGTGGGAATGGATTCTGGACAGAGAAGTCCAAATCCATGCTACAGAAAGCCTGAAGTCGCTTCAGTATTAAAAAAAACATAATTAAACAGGCTCCTTAATATTTAAAGGACACTTCTCAAATAACTTACAGTACAATGATCTCACGTCAATCGAGATAGCAGTTGGTTTCAGGCTGAAATCACAGTATTTGCCCATTTTTACTCACCCCAGGAGTTGCCACTTGCAGATTAAATGCAGAGCTGGCCAGAGTAAAGCAGTGAAGGAAAGACTGGGCTGACACACCTGGAAAATAGATTCCAACACCTTAGTGAAACAACAGTGATGGTTTAATCCAGGCCACTCTTTATCTAGCAAAATACATGAGCTTGGGTGTTTTAAACGCTCATTTTATACGCTCTAGATAATTTCCGAGGATTATTTTTTTTTATGATTTAATGATTTTAAGAAATCAGAAATGTACAGCCTTCATTACAGGTGAGCTGTGCACTAAGGAATAGAATTCGTGAAAACTTGAATTTGAAAATTAAGGTTGAAATTTAAGGTTGAAAAGGACCTTAAAGCCCATCTTGCACCAACTCCTGGCCATGGGCAGGGGGACACCTTCTACCAGACCAGATTGTCCAAGCCCTGTCCAACCTGGCCTTAGCCACTCCCAGGGATGGGGCAGCCACAGCTTCTCTGGGCAATCTGTGCACCCTTGCAGGGAATCATCCCCCTCTAACATCCAATCTAAGCCGCCCCTCCTTCCCCTCAAAGCCACAAAAGCCACACGCAGAGGAGCCAAGCGGCACAGCTGCACAGAGGAGGCAACACCTGCAGTGCAGATGTGCGCGGATGGAAAACCAGCTGCGCAGAGAAGGCACAGGCACACGCATGGTTGCACTATATTGCAATAATCATCCTCGGCTGCGCTGTGACACCCAMACACACGGGGACGGGCACACAAACGGGGGGACACGCCGCGACAGCCACACCGGGAACACCCCCGCGCGGCACCGCCCCGCCGCGGCGCTGGGAAGGGATGAAGGGCGCGGGATACCCGCAGAGGCCGGCTCCCCGCGAACCGGCGGGGCTCCCCCGAGAGCGTGTCTCACCCGCGGCGGCGGCGCTGGCGACGATGAGGCAGGAGGGTTTGGCCAGCCGGTCCGACATGGCGGGGCCGGGCCTGAGGGGCCTGAGGGGAGGGCGGGGCCTGAGGGGAGGGCGGGGCCTGAGGGGAGGGCGGGGCCTGAGGGGAGGGCGGGGCCAGAGGGGAGGGCGGGGCCTCGCGCGGCCGCGCATGCGCAGCGCGGCGGGAGAAAAGCGCGCCAAATCCTGAGGGGGGCGAAAAAGCGCGGGAAGCTCTGAACGGGCGGCGCCTCCTAAAAGCCTTCGTACGTTCCGAGAATCGCATAGTTCAGCGTTTCATTGACGAACTGCCGTTGTTTCCTTATTTCCCCGCTTTTGTAACCCTCGGCGTTCAGTTTCTGGGTTTGCATCTTTCATCCCTTTGTGAATTGAATAGGTTTATCACTCGCTTGCTTGCTGGTGGGTTACAGACACAACACCGGTATAAAATGAAATAAAGTCCGCATAACCCTGCTATTGTTTTTATTTGTTTATTTGGAAGAATAAATTAGCCTGGAAATCAGGCTAATTTCTAGCCTGRTTTCCTAAAGGAAATGTAGGTTACACTATCTTGTCCCGTCTCTTCAGTCATCTGTTCGTCTCCTTTTCTCTCCAGAACTGTGTTCTGAATCCACCAGCTGGTTAATCTGGATGCTCCTCTCTCCTTGTTCCAGTTTAGATATCAGAAAAATATTTTTTTAAAAGGGAAAAAAAAAAAAAAAAGCATTTCTTCCACCATGCAGTTTCACTGTGGGGTGGGAGACTTGCTGCCACTCCAGCAGCCCAAACATTTATGGCACAGAGCATCACATTCATGCTCCTTATTCCCTGCTCTGATTCCAGTTGAAAGGAATGAGAAGGTAGTGTCTTTACAAACAAACTCTGGGGTGAGATAAGGCTGATATTGAGAGATAGAAAGAAACAATAAGAAGGATTTGCATAAGAATTCTACTGATTGGCTTACCCCAGTCCATGTTAATAGACTACCTGAGCAGAGACACAGAGATGTATATTGAAAGGGGGCAATTTATGATAGAAGAAGAGTTTCATCAGGCGTTTTGGGGAGCCTGTACCTCTCAAGTACCTCAGCCAATAGAGAAAGAGAGAGGGGACTGCAGCCGAAAAATTGAGATAAAAGGAGGCTGCGTCCTCTATGAATTTGAGAGACCCCATGGGAAATGCCCATGACCTCTCCCTTTATTCATGAATAAAGTTGCGGGACTCCTCTGTCTCCTTTTTGGACATAAACCTCTRGTGCTTGTGGATTAATTTTCCTAACACAGTGCTTTTTAAACAAACACAAAGGACAGTGCTGTCCCAGGCACTGCTCCGTCAGCTCTTCCCACCCTCCCTACACTGCCCCAAGGAAGTGCAATTCTGCACACCCTGACTGAGGTCAATGGGAGGGTCAGGCCCCCACCCATCCCAGATTCTCAGCCCCAGCATTCCCAGTCAGAAAAGAGGAATTTATTTGATCTCCTACTCTTATGACTTCTAAGACTGTTAAAACTCGAGTCCCCATCTGTGTTTCTACGGCAAAAACCTCAGATAATTACAGCTTTTACAGCTGAAGGGTGCCCTTTTTCCTGACCCCTGTGGATTTTACAGGATTTTTCTTCCCAGTTCTTAAGAAATTTATTTCCAATAGCCTGCAGGCTTCTGAGTGGAGCTGGTATAATACAACATCATCCCCTGTGTGGTGACACGTGCCACCAAAACCCTCCTTTCTTCTGAGAGCCAGGAGGGAATCTGTGCACAGGGACCCCATGGATGGCACCCACTGCTCAGGGGATGGTTCCTTTGGGAGGAGAGGTGATCCCAGGGCATGTTAGAAACAAAACTGGAAAATCAGCAGGAGAAAGCGGCCAGGAGGAAGGTCACAGCAAAGAACTGGGGGCAAAGCCTGCAGGRTTGGGAATCCCTTGGATGGGAAAGGTTTCCCCTGTGCCTCTGGGTAAACCCATGATTCTATTTAGTTCCTGTCTGGGAATAGCAATAATCATCCTCTGCCTGGTTTCCCTGGGCAGGATAGAGTTTCTTTGGGGCAAGAACTGCCTTTTCTCACAGTTCTCAGTGGGATCACTGATCCYAGAAAGCAATGAGCTTTCAAGAAACACAGACAAAGAATCCTGGAATCATAGAACACTTTGGGTTGGAAGGGCCCTTAAAGTTCACCTCGTTCCACCCCCTGCCTTGGACACTTTCCACTATCCCARGCTGCTCCAARCCCCGTCCAGACWGRCYTTGGACACWTCCAGGGGTGGRTCAGCCACAATTTTCTCCAGACAACCTCCACAGGGAGCACAGCCAGTTCCACTCACACCCCCACGTACACGAAGATGCTCACRGGAGGAATTATACAATCTCTCTACGTGTGTGTATATATATCTATATATAGTTTATTTCTCACAATCCTGGTAAGAGTTACAGGTGTATTTGGGAATCATTTACAGTTTCACAGCATATGGAGTGGCCATACAGCTTGTGATGTGAGTAACATACAGTGTGTAGAGAGCACACGATTCCGACCCATCCACCCACCACTCACACAATGGGTTTCCAAAGCTAATACTAGATTCAGCTACGGAGAAAGCCTGGAAAATGTTAGGGTACAGCGTTGGGTGTCGTACAACACTGTCAGTCACAATGGGACAAGCTAAACTACTTTAAATTTTCAATCTAGTATTTCTAGTCTACCTGCATTATTGCATTTATACGCTTTTTTTGTTTTTAAAGTCAAAAGTAAATAGAATACTATATGGGAAAGGAAAAAATTCTTGACTATTTTAGGATTTGAGCTGCAGCCCATACAAAGTGTCCATAGAAGCATAGACAAGATTATAAATTCAACAAGGTATAAATTAGCTGGATAGCTTTGTGTGTAGGTAGGTGTCCATTTCCCTCCAGGAAATGTGTCTAGCAGCATATTGTTTCCGAGAGCAAAAAAAAAAAAACAAAAACCCAAAACCCCAAACCTGTATGTTGAACACAGGTAAATATGTGTAAGTGACAAGCAGGTCTGTTTGTACAGGGAAGAAATCAAGGTCTCACTCAAAATTCCTATAGTTTGGAAAACACACTCGGGAGCTGACCCAAAACCTGCTGATGTTGCCACAAAGGTGCCTGAGGCTTCCAAAGGAACAGCAGGCACCTCAGTCTGACTTCCAAGRGCTTTGGATCAGTCCCTGGAGAAGTAACAGAATCCAAACAAACCAAAACCAAAATTAAAATACCYTATAATCTGACCTTCGAGATCCCTTCCTACAATTTTGGTTTCTCCACAAACTTACAGCCAACCTGCACCTACCACTGGAAGAGAGTTGGTTTCCCGGGGAGCTGAAATTGCAACTTTTAAAGGCTTGAGTTGAAACAGTCCTGGGAAAAGGCACCAGGGTTATGAAGGGCTGCTCAGAACTCAGTAAAGCCWAATTATTCCCTTGCTGGTCKGTAGGTTTGTCATTTTTCAAYGTGATAAAATTGTGTGGCACCCACRTTCTCATCAGCTTGCCCCAGAAGCCTGGCTGCTTGCAATGGCTGTGGCAAAACCAGGGATACGATGGCAGGAYTTAACTGTTGGAAAGCTGATTAAAGATTCCCCATGTCCTGGTGGGAACCTCAGTGCTGCAGCATCATCACACAGACAAAAAAATCCTGTAAATTCACGTTTGGGATGCTGTGCTGGGGCTGAGAAATGGAAAAGTAATGGAACTTTGTGAAGTGCAAGCTGGAAACAGCCAGAAGATAAACAAAAACAGCCAGTCCAAAGCGTATTTAACCCCAAGTCAAGCTTTTCAGCAGAAGAAAAATCTATTAAATTTAAAGAGCTTCAAAGGGCAGACAGCACAGTCCCAGAGTCGTGCGTATCCAAACACACGCTGTCCAGAGGGAGGGGCAGAGCTGTAGCACAAGGTAGATCCAAACTCAAGATTTTGGAAAGCCAAAGGCTCTGATCTCTTACAGGAGTTTGAGACCTGTTATGATCAATTGAGTGAAATGTGACTTTTTGAGGCCTGGAATTCCCACAGTTCTCTATCACCCACTGACACCAGATCAGCCCATTTCTTGCACTTCCTGCACCCTCACCCCTGGCACAACAGCTGATCCTTCCAACCCCATGTCCTTGACTTCAGAACTTCTCCTTTCCCTCTGTTTTTGGTTCTCCAGGGGGCTGAAGGAGCTCTGGCTGCAGCCCCTGTCGAGCAGCCAGAACACCTCACACCTCACTGRCAGGGAAGGACAAGAATCCCGGGGATTTGTCTTCCATYACAAATCCTGTGATGATGAGMACGCAGCMTCTTGAAGACCTAAATCCTCAGAGYTGAGGGCAGATCAAAGYTTCACACATTTCCTGCTGKGACRCACCGTCTGGGGGCCCAGCACTGCCTGTATTTTTGGGGGAACCATTCAAAACCTGCCTTAGCTGACCCAAAATCTGCCCCATCTTTGGGCTGTGGAGAGGCCACACCTGCAGAGCTGCCCAGGAAGAAAGTAGGGAAAGGAAAGGGAACACAACGTAGAGGCCAGAAGAGGAAAGAACAAGCAGTGAATCAGATCAGAAACTGATGGAATCCCATAGTTTGTAGCAGTTGCAGATCTGGTGTGAAAAGACATCCCAGGAATTTGTGAATTTGAAAGGAAAGCAGATCACAGGGCTAGATTGAAAAGAGAAGAGGAAAAAAGTCAGCCTAAAACCACTTTATTCAACAGATTAAACCCTGTGGGGGTTGCTGGAAGGCTGCACCCTGGGGCTGTCAGTCCAGACCCTAAATGTGCCAGCAGATCCTCAGCATCAGCAGCTTTCTCCCCAAAAGAGTAAAGGACCGAATACCTTCTGTGTAAAAGCAGGAAATGCCCCAATTCCRGCCTCCCACGGTGAGAATTTACACAACAATTGCGCATGATGGGAAATGCTCAACCTGCACAGCAGAACTGCAGCCAAAACATCATGAACTCGATGTGATGCTGCCCCAAGGACTCCTCCCGGCTCTGTGGTGAAGGGAATGACACCACAGCAAGGTGGGAAGAGATTCAGCATTCCTGCTCCAGCATGAAGGCATGGACCAGGAGGATGGAAAGCGAGGAAGCTGCATTTTTAGTTTTTGCTGTAGCAAAGCATGTGAAAAGAGAAYGCCGCCCCTCAAAATCCCCTTAATCATGCAAAGCTGGTTGCAGAAAACTTTGGGTGTTTTTTTCTAACCCTTTAACATCGCACAGAGACAGCAGGAATTCATCTGGAAAAGGCAATTAGCGGAGGTTAATTTGCACGGCATCAGAGCTGGCTATTTTTGCCTTTTTCTGAGGGAAAAAGAAAAAAATGGAGAGTGTATATAAGTTAGCATGTCTTTACCAAAGCTATTAAGATAATTAAATAGTGCTTTTTCTCCACTTCTCTGCTCTGTTCCTTGTACCCTTTCAGAATTTTCACCAACTTGCAGCTTTCCATGGAGCTGATTGAAAATCCAAGAATTTCACCTTTCAAACACACTTCTTCATTGCCTTCCTTTTTTGGTTGGTTTCTCAAAGAGTCATTTTCCCCTCCAATCTTCAGCACTGTTATTTTCAACCAATTCTAAGAATAGTTGTAAGGCTGCTGAATTCTAAACCCCAGTAGCATTTCCAGGAACAGCAGGGAATATTTTTAGGCAYAAATCATCTCTCATCATCTCCAGGGGTTTTTGGTTGCACTGCTGTTGTTCATACCCAAATCCTGATATTGGTATTAGCGGGGCTGCCTCGGACACGCTCAGCATGAGGAATATTTGTGTCAATTTAAAAATAAATGTGCMATTGAGATGATTTTATGATGACCTGTGATCATATCCCTGGTGCCAACAAGAACTCAAAGGCCAGAGCATGGTGAAGCCAATGAAAAGATTCCCCTTGTTTTCAGTATTCTATGGATCAACCCTTAAACTTTAATCCATCAGAGACACAAACGGATGTTTAATTTATCACACAGCCCGAGGGAACTAAGAAATGCTTCAGGGCAAGTGASTGTTGAGTGCTTTAAGTGAGTCCCAGGTGAACAGAACCTGCAGGAATGCATTCTTACCCTCCCAAAAATGCTGCTGCATTATCTCCTGGCTGCCAGATTTGTTTGCGTAGTGCTGCAGCACTGTTAGGAATAACAGGAATTATCCGCAGGGTATTAAATCAGTAGGAAGAGGAAGMAGAAGCATAATCCATTTCATCTCTCTTAAAATAGAAGCAGCAAAAACCTTCTACCGAGTTGTCCACGACAGCATAACGACGTCTTTATAGTCAACAAAAATTTATGATTCCTTTAAAAAGAGATTGAGATCGGGTGTGGYGATTCAATCGAGAGTTTTGGTGACAAGCTGAAAGGTCTGAAAGCAGTTTCGCCAATTTATAATTCATAATTTACTTGATCAAAAGAGTAAACTAGCAATCTAGATCTCTTCAAACCCCAAGCATGGACTCTGACTAGTTTTAAGCGTTAATTCACTCCCCACGGAGATGTCACTGGAAGGACTTCATACCACAAAAACCACACAAAGAAGGACATCAAGCAAATAACGGCGTGTGCTCAGTACGAGAAAAGACAACTATTTATTTAGCACAGCGAGTTGAGTCATTTAAGCCTTCTGCTTCAACAGATTGGGGCTGAGAGAGGGGGATTTGCCCTCTCGGCCTGGCGCTCGCTGGACATTTTTGGCTCAGAATGAAAGCACTGCACAGCCTGGCACAGTAAGGCAGGACAGGAGGTGTTTGCAAGTCAGGGCTGCGGTGCACTGTGCCATCTACGCTGGATCTGCCCGGCTCAACACTAGACCTACACTTGGAAAAGCGCTACAGCACAGTCCAGAATAGTCTAAAAGTGCCTCATTTTAAAGCAAAGAGCCCACACGACTATCCAGGGAGGGAAGCAGGGGCTCGGGGCTCCAAGCACGATGGGCACATCACACACTCAGCGCTTCACCAGCCAGACATTCCTTGCACTGAGGAACCAGGAGTGGGGAAGGAGTTCAGGAGCTGCATGGCGTGGTGGGAATGGCACAGAGAAGACAGCACAGACACTTGGTGTGAACGCAGGGAAAGAARGAAGGGGCATCTCCCCCTCTCAGACTGGCACAGCACGACACAAAAACCCCAAAGGTTTGTACACACACACACACAGGGTGATGCACACACACACACACACATACACCACACACACAGACGTGTTTTCCAAACCAAACTGCCACAGAGGTGCTGAACCCGGACAGCAGACACTCAAGTGATCCCAAAAGGTGGAAAATCCCTCAGGAATAGGACATACCACACTCAGAAATCCCTCACAAAGAGGACATACCGGGTTGGCCATGCAGGGAGGGCTCGAATGAGCAACGTGGCCAGAGGAGGAGCTGCAAAAACACACTTTTGTGGTGTTTGGATGAAATTGGTGGCCTTGCATCTGAGTGCTCTAAGGGCAGGCAGGGTTTGGAGGTGGAGAAATGGTTAAGGCCATTGGCTGAGAACTGTTTTTTCCCCTCTTCTGTGGCCAAAGGTGAAGACAAGGAAACAAAAACACTTTTGAAGGTAAAACTGGAGGCTCAARTGAAGCATGTGCTTCATTTTCCTCCCCCCATCTATTTATGCTGGTCAGGACAGAACAGATAGATGCTGTGCCTAATGTCATTCACTGCTGAAAAAAAACAGCCAGTGCTAAGAGGAGGAAGGGGACCGGAAAGGTAGAAACATCTCTTGGAAACCGAAATCACCATCTGAAAATCACCACCCTGCTCAGCAAAACATGAAGGAGGTTATTTCCCTACCTTCCAAGCAACATCAGCAAAACCCCCTGCAAAAATTTCCCTRCAAAGTTGCACCTCGGAGATCTGAGGGGAGAGGAGGAACCCTTCTGCTTCTAACCTTTCTTAACACACTGCTGCTGGGAGACACGTCCACAGCTCTTTAGGACTGAGCAAAAACACCCTCACAAGGTCTGGCTTCAGAGCCAAGGTACTCACCCATGAAATCAGGCTGCTCCTGAGGGCTGGGAATWTGTTTCCATTTCCAAAGGACAGAAGAGTTACAAATCCCTGCTACTACTGTTGTAAGAGTGAGGTGAGAAATCCACCCAGGACAGACTCCAGCGTCCTTGAAGGGGGTTTCCCTGGTATAAAGTAGGTAGGTCAGAGTTACTCTCATGGGGTCCCACATCCTCTCTGCCCCTAAGACCAGCTCATGTCTCCCCTTTTCCTGCCTTCCTGTGTGCTGAGAGACCACAGCCTTCCATGGTGGGGGAAAAATCCAGTGAAAGGCCTTATCCAAAGCCCAAAAAAATGAATGCAAATAGTCCAGCCAGCCTCGAGGGAGCTTGGACTGAGGCCACAGCACCCTGCAAAGCCCAGCCTAACTTTAGGAAATACTAGATCCAAAACAAAGTTTCTCTATCCCAAACGCTGTCCACATGACCCTGGCAAGCCCTTGGATCCCGGAGGCTGCAATGGGACTTCTCTGGGCCACAGCACAGCCCCTYTGGTCACTGTCTTGCTGGCAGCTCAGCCAGAGCAGTGACCTGATGTGACATCCCAGGCTCACCCTTGGCTCTGCCCCCTGGTTTTTCCAGGGCACTTCCCAGTTGGGTGTTCCAGGGTGGGATGATGAGCAGCAGGGACACAGACAGCGACCAGGGATCACTCATGGCTGTCAGCTCAGGGAGCTGTCCTTTCCCTGCCACTGCCCCTCTGCTTCCCTTGTCCCCAGGGGGCTGGACAAACACCCCCAGCCCAGTGTGACAGGCGAGCACTCCCCTTCCATCTTCTTTACCACAGCCCAACTTAAAACAGAACCAAACAGAAACCCAAACACAAACTGGGGACGCGGGATGGGACGTAGAACACTTTGGACTTGAAAACAGGGGACTGCAAGAGAGCAGGGGGTGTCTCCCAGGGAGGACAGCAGAGGAGGGGAGGGGACACCGTCATTTACACCGATCAGGAGAAGCTGTAATCTATACACAGTGGTAGAAGCCAAGATATATTACATGAAAGAACACACTGAGTGCATGRAGTCACCCACAGCGGGTCAGACTGGCACAGTTGTCTCGAACAAGACCCTGGAGTTGCAGTTGGTGTTTGTTGTTGACCTATCTAGCTCGCTCTCTATATATATAGCTATGTATAGAATTTCTCTGCATGCATTTGTCTCAAAAGAAGCTGTACAGCTGGGCTGGGTTTCTCATCCCCACCCCGTCTCGGTCTTCATTTTTTCCGGGCTAGGAATGCCACTCCCACAATCACAGCCAGCGCGGCCACCGCCACTCCTCCCACGATGATCAAGGGCTTCATGTTGTCGAAGAAGCTGCCGGGTGACTCCTCGGAGCTGTTTCCCTTGTGGTCAGAGTCAGGGGACTGGCCGCTGGCCTCCTGCGTCTCCGTGGCGGCGGGGCCGCCTTTCAGGTTGCTGTGGTTGTTGGCGGCGTCGCTGCCTGCTTTCTTGGTGGCCGTGGCAGGAGCAGGCTGCTCTTTGGGGGTCTCCTTCTTGTCTGCATTGCTGGTGGGCCCGGGGTTGGGTTTTTCTGGCTTTGCAGAGCCGGCAGCTTTGGTGTCGGGTTTGTTGGCGCTTCGGACGTTGCCTTTGGAATCCATCCCAGGGGTGCTGTGGGTAGTGGCTGGAGGAGCGGGGCTGTCTCAGCTCTTCTCCCTCACCTGGCTGCTGCAGGAAGCAGAGAAGCCAGCCGAGCTCGAGGCCTGGGAGYGGCTGTTTCAGGATGGTTATCACACCGGCAGGATCCTACCTAGACATGGTACAGCACCTGCGGGGGGAAGCACAGCAAAGAGAGGTGAGAGACGGGGCACAGTGAGCTGGTGATGCTCTGCCTCGAAATGATGGAGGAGGGCAGGAGGGAAAACTGGAAAACTGGTGGCTCCTTCTTTCRGAACTGTGAGCTCCATTCAAAGCATTTACTACAGGCTTGCAACAATCACAAAACYGGGAAATGGCCTGGGTTGGAAGCCACCTTAAAGCTCACTTCGTTCAGGCCATGGGCAGGGACACCTTCTACTATCCCAGTCTGCTCCAAGCCCTGTACAACCTGGCCTTGGACACTGCCAGGGGTGGGGCAGTCACAGCTTCTCTGGTCAGTCTGTGCCAGGGCCTCAGCATCCTTACAGGGAAGGATTTTTTTCCTAATATCAAACAGGATCATCAAACAAGTGGGACCATCATCTATGGCTGCCACATCTGGGCAAATCAAAACAAGTCCACCCCGGCCATTTGTCAGCAATGACAAACTCACCTCCACCCAAATAAACCTGACTTTACATTTGCTCACCCTTTCCATTCCTTCTGGGTAAGGAGAGAACACGCTGCTCCTTGGAAAACAGATGGACAGACCTTCCCTGCTTATCTCACCTTCCACCCTTCCCTTTGCAGCAGTATCCCGAGGTCAATTTAGGAAGTGGTTAATATGTSATCTTGTGTGATACTCTGCCTCCAGATGGGCACTGCACAAAAACCAGGATTACTTCCTCAGTTTCACAGGTACCAAGGACAAAAAGATTTTTTTTCCTSCCAGCATTTCTGTGGAGCAACAGCAAAACAAAGCAAGTGCCAGATCCTCAGCTGGTGCRACACAGGGAATTAACTGCATGGATTTACTGCAGAGCTGGATCTCTTAGTGATAGAGACATCTCAGTCCTATCATCTCCTTTCAGGGTTTGCTGAATTTGCCTATGAAGCCAAGTGATCAGCTGGGGCTATTTTCCCCAGGGAACTGATGGAAGYGRTGAACAGCATAKCTGCACCATAAGAATTCAGCAAAGRYGGCCTTTGAGGGGATGYAAAACCACCCCACAAACCTGACAGGGCAGGGTGAGCTGAGGCTGGAGCTCCTGTGGCTGCATTTCCACGTGATGGGAGAAGAGGACAATGCACTGGGCATTTTGCCAGCAGRCTCTGGCAGCGCCACGTCAGCCCCCAGCTCGGGAAATGAGAGGTAACCACAAGGCAGCGTCGGATCCGAGCCGCCGGCATCGCTGGCTCCCCGCTGACCTTCAGGGCTGCCAGGGAGCTTTCTGCCTGCTAAGTGAAATCAGAGCTCATTGTCTGGATCCAGAGCTGAAGAGGCTCCTCAAAAACCTCAGCAAGCAGAGGTTCCTTCCACAGCGGCTCAGAGGGCAGATCGCTCCTCTAATGACAGGAAGAAAGTCCCAGGGCTGCAGACACAATCAGTGCTGCTGAATCTTCTGGAAAAGAGGCTGACAAACGTGGGGTTTTCATCTCCATCTGGGCAGGAATGGAGGAAACGCCACAGAAATGCCAGGTTTGGGTCTAGAGCAAAGCTGGGCGACACCATATGGCTCCTAAGTGTAAGATGGAAACACTCCTGTTCTCCTCCCTTGCCAGCCATTGCTTGGTGGCCACCAGCTGCTCCAGTGCCAGTCAGCTGGAGTGGACTGAGGAAACTGCAGCACCAAAATCACAGAATTCCACAGCTCTCACAGAATATCCTAAATTGGAAGGRRCCCAYAAGGATCTTCCAGTCCATCTCTTCACACTGCACCAGGCCTGGTGACCATAAAAAACCTGTATTTCTCACTGACTGCAGCTGGGCAATGCTTGCATTCCCTAGTTTGGGACACTAAACCCAAAAAGCTCAAACTCAGCCACTCTCATGGATTGCTGAGGGTTTTTCAGGCACTTGGGCATCCTGTACCACACAAASACCACCCCAGATGCTCACCCAGCTTCAGACCTCACTGTGGCTTGGGACTCAGGAGGGAAACATGGTCCTGGCTGAGTGCAAGAATATTTTCCTCTCAGTGCTCGTTCTGTAATATTTCTGCAGATATCACCTGCCTCACATTTTCCTACCACTTCCAGAGAGCATCCAAACTGCTCTGCCAGCACAAATCCTACATAAATGCAGGGTTGGGGCTGCACAGTCGCTCCCARGACTCTGCTCCTCTGGTTTGGGACCAATCTATTCTTATTTTCAATCTAGTACAATGAGATACAAAGAAATAGTAAGTGGAGCCCACAACTGAAGTGGGCTCAGAGGTTAAAGCAGCAAGTCAGACTAATACTGGCATAAATATTAAATTACCTTCTTTGATATCAATTAACTGGGCCACTCACACACTCGGATATTTGTGTGGTTACAGAACATGGACCAAGCATTAAACTTCTGCTCTTTCCCTAGGAAAACTATGTGCAGCCTATGGAGATGGTGAGGTGAACCACAGGGAGGGCAAGCTCACCTTTTTGCTGAGAAAGGGGAATCCTGCACAGTCCAGGTACCCCTCACTGATTCCAATTTGCAGATTCCTAGGGGCAGGAAAACTGATTTTGCTTGGAGCCCATGCAGCGTGTGGAGCCTTGTCCAACTACCACCACACCCTGCACTGGCACAGACAGAATGTCCCCATTCTAAGTGAATTTCCACTAAAAGCAACACAAACCCCTCAAGCAGCTTAGAAAAGGTTTTAAAAGATGTAGAAACCAAACTAAGCCCAAAAAAATCAATATCGGCCGTTCTTAAGTGCCTGATAAAAGGGCTTTTGTCTATGGTTTTCCATCACTGCAAGTGATTGTCCAGMACCTCTCCAGACCTCTGGCCTGGCCCCTCCTTCTCCCCCACACCCGGGGTACCCTTAGCAGCACATTCTCTTCCATCCCAGTACTTAACCCTCCTCAGTGTGCTTTTAGYTCCCTACCTTGGGAATCATCTCCTGGCTCCACACCTGCACTTCCAAGGGCACGGCCATGGGCTCATCTTTAAGCACCTCTGTTCCTCCCAGACTGAAGAGAGAGGCACTTTCCTTATTTCCAAAAACTAAGCCTACACATGAGGATTCCCTCCCCATCCCTGTCTTGTCCTTTCCCCTCATTCTATCACACCAATTTTTTTTCTCTAACAATACGATTTTCTACCTTTGCTTCCTTCTTTACAGCTCCTCACATCTTTTTACTCCTCCCTTCTCTCTTGGCAGTTGTTGTCTCTGCCTGTCTGCCCATTCCTCCCCCTTCCAGCTCCCTCTCTGCCTCCTACACAGGCAGCAGCACTCAGGAATAAGATTTGGTGGGAGACAGACTTCATTCCCTCCCTTTTCCCCACTCCAAGCTATTCCTGTTCAACAATCAGTGCTCTTTCAGGGAGGTTCTCACTGCCAGCAGCTCACCAGCTCTTTCCCAGGCTGGGAAGAAGGAGCTGGCATAATAAGACCAAGGATGACAAAGGAGAAAAAGGCAAAGGAAAGACTTCCAAAAAAAAAATCCTGCTGCTGCAAGGATTGGCACACAAACACCATGGCTCCCCTGGGATGCTCTCAAGGTCAGTCGGACTCACCCAGCGCAACAAGCTGCCCTCAGCTGGAGCAACAGGCCAGCACAGGAACAGCATCCCTCAGCTCCCCAAAGGGCACCTTTTCTGCCTCAAATCCCAGCAAATCACCAAACACATCTATTCATCTGTCTCCTGCGTGCACAGATGAGAGCTGCATCAACCCTGCACCGAATGGAGCGGATGAGTCATTGCTGAGCTGTGCCACGGCACAGATCTGTCAGGGTGGCCCCTTCCCTCTGCACGAACCAGCCCCATCCCATCCCATCCCATCCCATCCCATCCCATCCCATCCCATCCCATCCCATCCCATCCCATCCCATCCCCAAATCCTCTCATCCTGCCCTACTGCTCCCATCTGGAAGGAAAAGGTGGTCACTTTGCAAGACCGAGCAGCTGCTCCAGGCTGCGGGTCTGGGGTGCAGTGGGAAGCTCATCCATAGGGATTTTCCCTCTGTTGTGACAAGCAGCACATTTCCATCAGGTCCCCAACTGCCACGCTGAGAMTGGCAGCAAGGAAGGGTTCAACAACACCATGGGGTTATGTATCAGGATTTATCCTGCAACAAAGGCCCGTCCCTACACTCCAGGTAGGAAACACCCATCTTGGAAACAGCTGCTGACCACATCTGACCCAGAGCAATGCTGTGCAGAAAGGACCAGAGGTGGCAGGAAACTGTTTATCTTCAAACCTTCATCTCTTCTTCCCTTCTTTGTCCTGTTTGGAAGAAAGGCGCTTACCCCGTTGTGTGCAGGACAGACAGACAGACCCTTGCTCTCCCTAAGGAAATGCTGGCACCAAAAGTGGCTCTGGCACAGCAGAGAGAGCTCCTTTCCCAACACTCTGACCATCCCACTCTCCTCAGCCTTCCTGTCTAACCCCTACAGAATGCAGCTTGTGCCACCCTGYCCTTTGGGAAGTGTCCCCAGGGGTCTGTGCCTGTCCCCTCTGCCACACGTGGAGTGATCTGTCAGGGCTGGAAGGATTTGKGACCAATCCCAGCCTGTTCCTTCAACGGAGCAGCACATTGTTTCACAGCACTTCAACTCTCCGTTTCCAACAGGGAAAACCAGCATTTCTCCCTTTTTGTGAGCTGCTGGGGGAACGAACAGGTCAAAGGCAGAGAGATGCCAGGCAAGCACCCAGGAGAAGGACRGCAGAGTAGTGACTAAGCCTTTTCCCATGGCCAAGAAGTGCAGCGAAGACAGATGAGGTAATGCACCRCCTCTGATATTACCATCAATATTAAAGCAGCTTTACATAAGGAGCTTGTGTTCTCTCAGCTCCCCAAGGAGGATTTCAGCTCCCTTCCAGGCTATTTCGGCCACCTTGCTCCTGACTCGACGCACGGCGAGCGTGATCAAACGCAACGCAAGCCCCACGCCCACAGAGCCACTCGTCACTGAYGCTTTCACACGGCCTCGGTGACGCTGCACAGCCAGGGACAGGCTGTGCAGGAGCCTGCTGTGCTTCCCAGCCCTCCCAAAATCCAGCCCTCGCAGGAAAAAAAAGCACCAAGTCGCAGAGAACACCGGTGACCCACTTCACTCTGATGRGATATTAATGAATCCTTTTCCCAATCTGTTGTTTGTTACTCCCCACATCCCTCCCCCCGTCCCTGGATTAAACGCTTCCCCTCACTCAAACAAGCCCTTCGAATCTTGTTGTACAGAGTGTCAGACACTGGAAGTATTTTACCAGTAGCAGCAGGCTCAAATTGCTGCCAYGGGGGGAGATTTGCCAGCCAAGCCTCTGCTCCATGGCTGCGGTGGTTCCTGCAGCTGCTCTGAGTCCCAGCACACCCCTCACTGCTCCAGCTGGTGCTGGCAATGACCAAAAACCTAAAACCTGCACCCACCACCCCCAGAGCTCCCAGAGCATGGTCACTGAGCCATCTCCCCTCTCTCCCAGGCTAATGCATCCACTCTCAGAGATTGGGCTGTACCTGGCACCGAGGCGAGGTGTGGGACAGGATGGGCTCCTGCAGCCTGGCTACAGCAGCTTTGCCTTCCCCCTGCAAAGAGAAAGGCTCTGGGATGCAGGCCCTGGGCCACCAGCTGCACAGAGGTGTGACACCAGTGCCAGTGTCCTCTCTGGAGGCCACCAAGCCACGCTGCCCACACAGGTGACACAGCACTTCAGGCTCCCCACCAGCAGGAGCACAGGAACAGGGCATTAATGATCTTTTTCTGCAGATGACAAGCTCTGAGCCAAGCCTCACCTCAGCAAGCTCCTGGGATGGATGTGGCAGACATTTTATTCTCCCAGAGACGGAGGTGGCATTGCAAACACACCACACACCTGCCAGGGGCTCAGCTTGTGCTCTTTTGGGGGGGTTTAACCCTAAACACGGCTCCAACCTACCCTGGTAACACACCCTGCCTGTACACAGCCACGTGCACAGCAAAAAGCAGGCGCTACCAAGCAGCCGTGGGAGAGAGGAGGTTTTGTCTCCAGCCACGTGCTCTGAGTGACTCCGTAGGGGTGGGCACTGAGTCACAGCCAGCATGGCCCTGGCCTGCTGTCTGCAAGAGAAATCACTCCTGGCAAGGTCCCTCAGATGCCACCAGACACATCTTATAGAAAAGTAAATTCTAGAATTTGACAGCATCTGGAATTTTGCTGAGGTTGGGTGGGAAATACCCTGCTGCAAAGTCTGGATCCTCAGGGTCCTAACACAGCCTCCAAGCCCCCAAAACAGAGTTCAGAGCACCTCAATTTGCTGTGCTAACCCTGCTTTGCCCTTGGGTTTGAACCCTCCTCAGACATAAAATCAAACTCCCTTTTCCCCTCTACAGTTCAATTTTTTTTTTTTTTTGGTAGCAGAACAAAATTGTCGCTTTTACCCCTCAAAAATCGGGATGTTTTAGATCTTGAGCCTGTCTCTGGCAGGGCTGAGCACCCCTCACCCCAAGACAGAAATTCAGGGAGCAAAGGAAAAGCTTCTCAGC